TGTGTGGGCGACAGACACCAGGCCTCTCCCGCCACACACACACACACACCGGCAGCTGGAGGAGCACCAGCTGTCTCTACTTCTGGAGCAAAGCTGTTGGAAACATCACCAAGGACCCACATCCGCACTGTTTCCAGGACGGCTGGAGCCCGAGGCATCGATGCTGTTTCCACACTCCACCCGGTGGGAGAGCTCACTCTGACCACACGCTCCCGCTCAGCACAAGTCCTCTGGGGCATTCCAGTTCCAGACACGATGGATCGAGCCTAGCAGAGAGCACCCAAGGCCTCGAACCCCCCAGCCCCCAGCCCCCGCCACTGCTGCTAGAGGAGGTAGGGAAGAAACATGAGGCTCGTGGGCTGGAAGCTCGGGACCGCAGCCTCCCAATCCTGTCAATGAACGCCTGTGCCTGAAAGACAGGCGGGGAAGGTCAGGTCTCAGACTCCGGCCGGGTCGCCAGTGTAACACTCCCGGCGCGGTTCAGATGTTTCTTTCCTCTTGAAATGTATGCTTCTCTGTTTCGCTTCCTGCCTCCACTCCCACTCCCAGCTCCGCCGATCCTCAGCCTAATGGCTTGCAATCTCACCCTCCTCTCTGGGTCCTCAGTCTCGCCACCGCAGGAGTGTCTGCTCCGGCCAGACCAGCGCCAGGTTTGAGAATGCGGACCCGGAGTTCACGCTCCTGGTGTGGAGGCGGGGCTCCCTTATTTGCATATCGCCCTCCGCCCCTCATTTACATGACCTCTTCCTCGCCTGGACCCTGCTGCCAGGATGAGATACTCAGGCGGAAAAAGACCCAAGCTCCTATAAAAGGGATCTGTGTCCCCAGACGACTTCCAAACTCAGAGCGAACCCATAGAGCCCGGAAAGTGGCCACAGCCAGTGCGCAACAGTTCCACTCGTTCGCTCATCCGAACCCGCCAGGCCAATCTAGGGCCCTGGGAGGCATTCCGCCGCAGCGCTTCCTTAGAAAGGAGTCGCAAGGCTCCGACCCCGGCAGCCCACTCAGTCCTGGTCTTGCACGCGAAGACAAGTGGAAACCGGCCTGGGACGCCAAGAACGCGCTCTCCCGCGTCCGCGCAGACAGCTAGCTCTCCCGCCTGCTCACAGCTTTCCGCCAGCCTTCGGCATGACTTTGTGGAACGGCGTGCTCCCCTTCTACCCCCAACCCCGACATGCAGCCTACTTCAGCGTCCCGTTGCTCATTGTCATTCTGGTGTTCTTGGCCTTGGCTGCCAGCTTCCTGCTCGTCTTGCCGGGAATCCGCGGCCACTCGGTAAGGGGGTGCTGAAAGCTCGGGTTGGGGCTTGGGGGTTGTTACAGGCAACTCTTCTCAGAGACCCAGGACAGGCATGCAAGGGTCTTCATGAATAGATATGAGGGTCAGGAGGAACAAATTCAGAAATGGGAAGCAGTAAATACCCCTTCCCAAGGCAGAGCTTCCCTCCAAGACATCCCGGGGACTGACCCCAGCCAGGGGATTGGAGGGCTGTGGGTGCCCAGTCCAGTGATTCTGGGCTGATTCCAGGCTTAACGTGCTGGGTCCTCCCACCTCTCCCTGGAGTTGCACTCCCATCTCGTCCTCTGGATCACGACCTTCAAGCCAAGAGGACAGACTGCAAGCACCTCGGGCTGCTGGGCGTTGGTGCTATGAACGCCCCCTTCCTCAGGACTCAAGAGAATCCTGCACAGGATTTGGGAAGTTGTACCAGACTTGGGTGCATTCCTTAGACTCCCCCTCACCCCAAAACCCAGATTATGCACTTTTCAAGTCTGGAAAGATCCCACTTTCTGCTTGGGCAGTGTTGGCTTCCCTCAGGAACGGGTGCACCCAGGAGTATTTTCGTTCTCACCTCCTCTACTGGCCATCAGTCCCTGAGCCTCCCTCTTCTGGGGTTGGTGACCCCTGTTTGTTTAACACTTCTGGGCTCACTGAGCCTTGCCAAGCTGTGACTGAACCAGGAGGTGGAACCAAGACTAGGCATCAGCCAGCTGCAGAGTGAAGGGGTTCAGAGAGTGCCAGGGAGAAGTGCTAGGGCTCGGAGTGGACCAGAAAATGGGGCTACAGAGGAGGAAGCTTGTGGCCAGAAAACACCAGAAATGCATTGGCCCAGACGGACTTGCAAGAAAAGCATGCCTGACATCAGCAGCAAAAGGTCAAGAATGTAGCTACAGACTGAGGTGGAGTGGGGTCAAGGCAGGTCTTGGGGACTCTGGTTGGGCAGTACCCAGGTCTGACCCCAGTCCTATTCCTGCAGCGCTGGTTCTGGTTGGTGAGAGTTCTTCTCAGTCTGTTCATAGGCGCTGAAATTGTGGGTGAGTTTGGGGTGCAGCCCAGGGGAGAGAGCCTGGGGTGAGAAAAAGTGCGCAGAGGGTACCTGGAAAACGGGGGTTGGTTTTCTCCTCCCTCTCCCCATTCTCCAGCTCCGTCTAGCACCCAGTCTTGGCCCTCGCTTTGTCATTGGGCCCCTAGGGCCTCATCTTTCTGCAGTTTCCCAGTTCCCATCACCACTGTCTCCTACTTCCTTCTTCCCACCCCCACCGTGCGCCTCTCCCACAGCCGTGCATTTCAGTGCAGAATGGTCCGTGGGGAGAGTGAGCACCAATACGTCCTACAAAGCCTTCAGCGCGGCGCGCATTCGAGCCCACGTGGGTCTGCTGGTTGGCCTGGAGGGCATTAACATTACACTCAAAGGTGAGGGGAGGAGGGGGGCGTGAGCTGCCGGGACGGGCAGATCCCGTGGTTGGGGGAGGGTGGCAGGGGTAGCTGGAGGACCTCTCACATCCCACAGGCTCAAATAGGAACCCAAAGGGCTTAGATTTTGGTCCCCGTGAACTTGCGTTGTTCTCAACCTACCCCCCACTTACTGTCCGAATCGGCTTAGTTGCGGGTCCCCGGCCGAGCACAGCCGGGTGACCCCGCCGCTCCTTGCAGGGACCCCAGTGCAGCAGCTGAACGAGACCATTGACTATAATGAGCAGTTCAGCTGGCGTCTGGGCGAGGACTACGCGGAGGAGTACGAGGACGCGCTGGAGAAGGGGCTGCCAGACCCTGTGCTCTACTTGGCGGAGAAGTTCACACCGAGCAGCCCTTGCGGGCTCTATCGCCAGTACCGCCTGGCTGGACGCTACGCTTCGGCAACGCTGTGGTGAGCGCTGGAGGGAGGCTGCACCAGGCGCGCGCGGGAGTGGCGTGTCAGCGGGAGGATGCAGGCCTCCGGGTACGCTGCAGCCACAGCCCAACGCGATCGAGGGGATTACAGCCTCTCGGGCCAGAAAGTGACGAGGTCTGCACAGACGCTCGGAATCCGGAAAGACCCAGCAACCGCCTAGAGCTCAAGAGGCCGTTTGGTTCCTGGGGATTTCCCTGCGCCTCCGCCCTCCGGGCGCCCGGCTTCCGCCCTGGGCTAGAGACGTAGCGGGCGGGGAGACGAGGAGGGGCAGGAGGCTCTGGGAACCCGGGCAGGCTGTCACGGGCTGGGTGAGAAGATCCCGCTCACTGCTGCCGCCTGGTCCCCGCAGGGTGGCGTTCTGCTTCTGGCTCCTCTCCAACGCGCTGCTCTCCATGCCGGTCCCGCTCTATGGAGGCCTGGCGCTCCTGATCACCGGCTCCTTCGCGCTCTTCGCTATCTTTGCGTTCGCCACCATCTCCAACGTGCCGCTCTGCGCATTCCGCCTCGGCTCCTCCGCGCTCACCACTCACTATGGCGCCGCCTTCTGGGTCACTCTGGCCACAGGTGAGAGCCCAGGGGATGGGCACGGGGTGCCTGGGCGTGGGCATGGGATCTCTCCCAGGTGCGCACTTTCCAGTTTACACAACAGTTGACTCTTATCCGACTCGCCCCTCTCCATAGTTCGTAGAGGCACACTGGTTCTGCTGTGCCTATTTTTTGGATGAGGAGAGGGATTCAGAGGGGTTCGGTACCTTGCCGCAGTTATCACAAGAACCTGTGTATCCCATAATCCATATTAGGAGTTTCCTGGCGGGATGTGTGCATGTGCGTGTGCGTGTGCGTGTGTGTGTCTGGGGAGGAAATGCGAGGGGTGGGTTCCGGAAGATGGAAGAGGGCCGACCAGTCCTGGCCTGGGTCCCTGATCGCCCTCCACACGCTTTGTTTCCGTGCGCGCGGCCGCAGGCATCCTGTGCCTCCTTCTCGGCGGGGCCGTGGTGAGTCTCCACTACGCTCGCCCCAGCGCTCTTCGCACCTTTCTGGACCGAAGCGTCAAGGACCACAGTAGCCAGGCGAAAGAGGGTTCGCCTCTCGTCCTCAGCAACCCGTTGCACACGCAGCCCGGGGCCCAGGGCTTAAGGATCACCACTGACTTGTAAAGGGGACCCAAGTCCAGACTTCCACCCCGCCTTGGTACCCCACAGGCTGGGGAACAATGCAGGAGCACTGCGCTGAGGGCGCCGGCGCCCGGGGAAAGGCGGGCCGGCAGGCTTGGTCGTGCTGCACGCACCAGGGAGAGTCTCCCTGGTGAGCTGTAAATAAACTTTTTAACCTTTTTTTTTTTTTTTAAGAAAAACAAAAACAAACAAAAAAGTTTTCTCCTATTTATTTCCATGACTTCTCTGGGTCGCCGGGCATGAGAGTCCTGGGGAGGCTTCTCTGGACTGGTGATTCTCTGCGGGGCAGCTCAACTCGAGAATCCCATTACTTAGGAAAGGGTCTGGGAGAGGGGCGCCCTCTAGTGAAGCGGAAGGGGAACCGACCTCAGTTGCATCTTCCAGTACAGCCCCAAGTGGGTGGCCTTCATCAGTCAGGTCCCCCTCCCCGGCCAGCTGAGTGGGTTCGGAAGGTTTGGAGTTAATTCACTAACTCCTCCCATATGCCTTCTTTTTGGGTGGTGTCTGAGTGCCAAGTAGATGTCAGCAACACCTAAAATGATAAATCCTAAAGTTTTTTTGTTTGTTTTAGAGGTTTTTGCCTTAGGGTGCATATGCTCACGCGGGAAAGAGAGTGTGCTTGCCAGAGAGACAGAGACATACAGAGAGACAGAGAGTGAAAAATCACCCCCTGGGGTATGGCCAGCTGCAATCCCTTCTCCTCCTGATAATGGGAACTCAGCACACACACGTGCCTGGCATGATTTTCAAGCCACCAGGTCAGGAACCGAACAGCTATCCGCCATGTGGGAGTCCAGCGATGAAATCACTATACCATCTGTTGGCCCATCCTTGAGGTTTTTTTTTTTTTAAAGGTTTTCAGTTGAGAACAGCAGACATGTAATGGCAACACAGCTGGACTCCTACATGGCTGCTCACGGTTTGAGTCCCGGACCTGGTGACTTGAAAGTCACACTTTTGCATGCCCAAAATCCTGAGAGGAGAAGGAAGGAGAAGGGATTGCAGCCCCGCCATCCCTCCTGGGGTGGTGGAGGTGGTGGTGTTTCTCACTCTCTGACTCTTTCTCTGTCTCTCTGGCAAGCACACATGCCCTATAGCAAAAATCTCTCTAAAAAAAGGGTTCTCGGTTACTCTTGCAACTTTATTTGGGAGCCCCAGCTGAAGGCGAATGTGGCACAGATGGTTAACGTTAGACTTGGGATGAGAAGTTTGGTCTCTTCTCCCTTCCAGCACTGCCGTTCATTGTCCTGAGAGGTCACACAAGCCCGGGAGTAAAGAGAGAACACAGGGGCCCAACAAAGCAGACCACAAGAGGTGCTGATGGACGAGAGGGACCGTAGGAGAATCTTACTGTAGCCTTTCTGCTCCCCAAATATGTGTGTGAAGTTGGGGTGCAGTGGATGGTACCATGAAAGGGCAAAAAGTGTCAAGGAAAGGCAGGGCTGCTGTACAGAGAGAAGCAGCCCTGCTTGGTCTTACCATGGCATCAGGTTTATAGGCAGGCCGAACATCTCTTCAGCACCTTGGGGCTTTTGGTTGTTTTTTGTTTTTTAATTTATTTGCAAGGAGGCACGTGCATTTGTCAGAGAAAGACAGTGGGAGAGGGAGAACACACTTCCGGTGGGGCGTGGTCTCGCTGCAGTCCCCTCCTCATCCCTCCACACTGACAGGCTCTTACACACACACACACATGTGCTTTTGAAGCTGCTAGGGCCAGGAGTCCAACCACTCAGTGGGCTACGTGGGATCAGGCTCCCTAAACCACTAGGCCATGGGAGTGGTCTTTTGTTTTTAGCCTCCTTTTTCTACTCCACCTACAGTTGGAGCTGGGGGCCTGAGGGCAGTTCTGGTGGTCTGGTGGTCTCACAGGGCTCCGAGGAAGTCTGCAGTGGGCCTGGGAGTCCGGGTGGCGGCCAAGGACAGGAGCGTTACAACGAACAGTCAGGGTGCTCCTCCCTGCAGCATCCCTCTGAGGAAGCCTCCGATAGAGGAATGTCCTGGGACTCGGGGCTCTCGGCTATGGACCGGTAGCGGGGGCTCAGAAGTCCCCCTTCCTCAGGACTCCGCTCCAGCTTGTGCCCCTCGTCTGCACTCTGGTTGAAGAAGGTCTTCAGCCTGTGGGGCTGCATCCTGTGGGCCACCACCATGAGCAGGCCCAGCAGCACACACAGCAGTCCTGGGGACAGAGGTAACAGGTGACCTGTCCTAGTGCGACTCACACCCTCCCAAGGACCTAGGAGCACCTCTCAGGGAGGTCTGGCATCCTGCTTGGGTTCAGAGAGGTGACTGGCTTAGGGGTATGGCTGGTATGGCTCTGCTGTCCTGAGCTGTGAGACCCCAGGTCCAGCGCCCTTTCAGTTATACCCCAGCCACAGAGAGAAGGAGAACTCTGAGCACAGAGAAGAGAAACCTGGGGGCAGGGCAGGGCACAGAGGAGGCAGCTCAGGGAAGGGCATGGCGGGTAGACACCACGGGGAAGGAGAGGAGAATAAAACTGCGGGACAGTGTAGGGCTGTGTGAGGCAGAGACAGGGTGCTGGGGACACACAGGAGTATTTGGGGGAAGTGGGAGGGGACAAGGGGTGAAAATTGGGGAAGGACCAGGGTGAAGAGAGAGTTTGGGGATGAGGGACCCAAAAGGAAAAAAAAGATACAGGGGAGTGAGCCTATAAAAGGAGGGAGAGGAATCATGATAAATGAATGAAGGAATAAATAAATACATAAACTAATTATTAAAAGGGGGGCAGCAGGTGGCATGGTGGTTAAGGCACTGGAGTTCCCACATGGTCAACTGTGGTTCAAGTTTCCAGACCTGGTGGCTTGCTTTCTCCCTCTCCCTCTCTCTCTGTTTTTCTCTGGTAAACTCGTGGGAAAAAAAATAGTGATAAATAAATAAATGAATTAAATAATTATTTAAGAAGTAAAAGAGGAGGGAGGAGAAGTGATACTGGGGACAGAAAACCAGGAAATTGGGAGGGGGCTTTAAAGGAAACGAAGACATGCTGGTGCCCAGAAGCAGACCTAAGCCACACCGGTGTGATGGATGGTCCCTGGCCCCGGCTCTCCAGAGCCCGTCTTGGGGCTGGGTCTCACCTGTGCTCAGTGTGGCCCAGAAGGCAGGCCCGTGGTGGATGTGCAGTACAGCAGTGCCCAGGTGCAGGGGACAGTGTGGGGACGAAGAGGCCATGGAGAAGCAGAGCAGTGCCAGCAGCTGGAAGGTGCCTGTGGCCAGCAGCATGTAGCCCCCGTAGACCAGCACAGGCATGCACAGCATCACGTTGGCCAGCAGCCAGCAGAGGAAGGCCACCCTGGGGGACCAGGACCCCGTGAGGGCTGGCCCATGTGCCTCCACTGTCGGCCAAGTTGGAGGGGCCCAGGTGGAGGCTCAGGGACTCAAGGAGGGTTCAAAGATGTGAGCTAGGGATTCCTGCCCAGGAACTCTCCGACCAAGCTCCGTGAGGACTGGTGCCAGCCTCTCCCACCCAAGATGGAGGGGAGATGGGGAGAAACCCTGCTCCCGAGGCCAGCAGGGCTTCCATCTTGTCCCCTTCCCACCCTCACCACAGTGTGGCTGAGGCGTAGTGTCCTGCCAGGCGGTACTGGTGGTGCAGGCCGCACGGGCTCTGTGGGGTGAACTTCTCCGCCAGGACAAGCACGGGGTCCGGCAGCCCCTTCTCCAGGGCCTTTGCATACTCCGCAGCATAGCTCTCGCCCAGGCGCCAGGTGAACTCCTCATTGTAGTCGATGGTTTCATTCAGTTGCTGCACTGGGGTCCCTGGGGGAAGGGGGCCAGTGTGCTTAGCAGGGACCTGAAGTCAGAGAGAGTGGGCACTTGCCCACGCTGGGCAGAAGAACAGCCTCTGCTCTCAGTCGAGACAAGGCAGCTGTGAAGGCTCTAAACTTCGCTCCTCCTATCACCTCCAACACCTGCGCCCTGCCACCCCCGTCCCAGGCCTCCTCTAAGCCTTCAGACCACACCAAGCACCAACCTCAAAGGCAGGGCAGAGTCTTCCCTCCCTGCTTCACCTGTGAGCGTGATGTTGACTCCTCCCAGTCCGACCTGCAGCCCAACGTCTGCGCTGATCCACTTGGAACTGAAGGCCTTGTATGTGGTGTTGGTGCCGACCTGGCCCACAGACCACTCGGAACTGAAATTCACGGCTGGGGTTGGGGAGTTGAACATCCAGAACTCAGGGAGGTCTGGGCATTACTGGATTAGAGTCGGAAGGCAAGCACCAAGGGGCCTGTGTCTGCTCAGGCTGTATTTGTGTACCGGCTAACCGATCCAGGGGCTAGCCCGGGGTTTGTTTGCCCACTAGATGTATAGGATGAGAGAATGGGTCGGAATCCAAGATTTCCCTTGGTCACACTCTGCTTCCCCCTTCCCTCCCCCCCATTTTGGAAAACTTGCTCAGGAACTGGGGGCGGAAGCGTTAGCATCAACCACAGGCGAAAACAGAGCTTCCACACAGAGTCTTTCCGTCCCTATCTGCCTCATCACCAGCAAAGCAAGCAGTCCTCCCGCTTCCTTCGCTCCTGTCTCTCCCCCAGACATTCATTTTGACCTGCTTTCCTCAGAATACAGGTGTTAGGAAGGTGGAGGAGAGCACCCAGCGTGGTTTACTGGGGCCACCATCCCACCCCCAGGGAAGGGTAACAGTGAGGGCATAGGGCCTGGTGAGAGAGGTCATGGTTAGGGTCTGGAGACCTTCGGGGAGATAGAGAGAGGAGAGGAGGGCTGCTGAGAGGACCCCACAGCTGGTGGCAGCTGCCTGAATCAGCAGCACTTCGCACTCACCCAGGATGGCCGCCCCGATGAATAAGCTGGTCACCACCCGCAGCAGCCAGAACAGCCTCTGAGTCACACGTGAGGGGGCAGGGTTAGCAGAGAGCACCGTCCTCCCAAGTCCACCTTTCCTCTTTCCAGACTTAGGGGAGATGTGAAGATTATAAACCTAAAGTCACTCGGTCTGGAGGGCAGGGTGGCTGGTACTTAGCAGGTGCTCAGTAATGATCTGTCGGATCAATGAGGCGGGAGCTCTCTGCTGGGGGTGGGAAGTGGTGCTGCTTCCTCAGCACTTCCATGTCTCTCCTGAGTCTGAACCCGTCACCCTGAGGCTGAGGTCTCTGTGGGTCTGGAGTCTGCAGGGCTGGGTTTGTTTCTCACCATCTTGCCCCGAATGCCAGGCAGGATGACGATGAAAGTGACCAGGGCAGTCAGAAAGATGGTGACGATGACGGCCAAGGTGGTGTCCATTGGGAAAGTTGGCTTGGGGCCAGCATAGAAGGGGTACGTGTGTCCCAACGCAGGCATGTTGGTGGGATGTGCAGGAGGGGCAGTGCTGTGTGACAACAAGAAGTGCTCACTGGGTCCCCCTAGGGATCAGGCACTGCTCTTGGTGCTAAAGATAAAGCAAAGCATAGACCAGATCAGATCCCCTAGTTATGGTTTGAATGTCCCCCGCCCCTCCCCAAACCCACGTATTGGGACTTGGCTGTATTGTGAAGTTAATTAATAAGAGCTTTCATCTGAATATGCTATGGAACAGCAGGGCCTTTGGGAAACGATTAAGCATCAGAGTAGGGTCCCCATGATTGAGTCCTCGTTATAAGGGAGGGAATGCGACAGACACATATTCCGCTCCACACACGCTCAGTCTTCTCACCAAGGGATTCTGCCAAGAAGACCTTCACCAGATGCAGGCCCCGCACTGTGGCCCGCCAAAGTGTGAGCTGAATAAACTTGTATTCTTTTTTTTTAAAATGTTGTCAGAGGGCACGTGCGCTTGCCAGAGAAAGAGGCAGGGGAGAAAAAGAAGGAAAGTGAGAAAGCACCCCCCCGGCTGATGGGGAATGGTCATGCCACAATTCCTTCTCCTCCATGTCCCTCCTCTCAGGATTCTGGGCCCACGGGCAATGCACATCCAGTGTGTTCTTCAAACCTCCAGGTCCAGAACGAGAACCATGCAGTCGGTCATGTGGGATCATTCGTCTTAACCACCGTGCCACTGGCTGGCCCAAACCACTATTCTTTTATACCACCCAGATTCAAGATATCCTCTCTTATTAGCAACAGAGTGGACTAGATGCTCTCTCTGGAGCGTCCGTTACTGCCCAGGCAGACTCCACTGTCACTGCTAGCGCACCGCTCCTCGGCCATCCTTCTCCCATGTTTGGGCTGGGGGAAAACGAGGGTCTTGGCCATTGGTTTCTATTGCGCCCTGCTCCCTTTTAACCCCCGGGTGCCCTAAATCAGTGCCACTGCTACCCTCAGGCTTCTCTGTTTCTCCTGGGGCTGTCTTAAGGAATATATTTCTCTTCTTTCCTCAGGCCTCTAGCACAAGCAGATAGATCATGGCACATAAAAAGAGCTATATTTACTATCAAATGAAGGCATAAGGTGAAAAGATAGTACAGATTACAGGAAGATTGGCTTTCTTCCTTAGTCCCCAAAGGAATAAAAGCCGGGCTCTGCTAAGTGTATAATCCAACAGTATCATCAGAGGACTGACGCCCAGGCCTGGCTGCCCATGCTGGTCTGTCCAGCATTCTCCAGTGCCCTGGTTCCTGTCCTGGCAAATCCAGAGCAATGGTGCGTGATCGAGTTCGCCTGAATAGGCACTGAAGCACCTGCCCTCCACCAAGCAGTGCTGAGCCAGAGGTCCTTCGACTCCACACGTCATCAGCGCTGGCTCTTCTCTGCCACTCCAATTCCCAGGCTCATTTCTGCTGGATATCTGGCTTCAGTCTACTCTGCTCCTCCCGTGAACTCGGAGCTTATTTGACACTAGTTTGTTCTTTAAGATAGGCTATGGTGGAAAGGGTACCTGAGCTAACTGTGTTCAGTTAAATCTCAATCAGGATGTGCTGCAAGCCACACTTTTATCTTTTTTTTTAAAAAAAAAATAGTTATTTACTTAATTTTTACTAATCATCACCGTTATTATTATTATAATTATTATTTTTAATTTGCTACGGGACACATGCTCGCACCAGAGAGAAAGGAGGTGGAGAGAGAGAGAAAGCAAGTCACCAGGTTGGGAAGCAAACCATGCTGGCCATACGGGAGTCTGGCACCCTAACCACTACACCACCTACAGGCTCCAACAAGCTATTACTTTATGTACCACAAAGAAAGAATGAAAAAGTACTGGCAAGTAAACCGTGCCAGTCATGGCTAAGACACACCTCAGGGGCTGACAAGTGGCGTTGTGGATAAGGCGCCGGACTCCCACATAGTTGACACAGTTCAAATCCTGGACCTGGCAGCTTGTTTTCTCCCTTTCTGTTTCTTTCTCTCTGTGTTTCTCTGGTCAAATTAAAAAAATAATAATAATAACAAATAAAATTAAATAATTATTTTTTTCAAAAAGGGCACACTCCAATTTCAGGGTTTTCAAAATACGGAAGTGGGGGAGCAGGCAGGAAAGCATCTTGGACTCAGTGACCCCGGCTCTGCTCACTTCCCTCAGCGTGATCTACACTGGGGTCTCGGTTTGTCCAGGAGGCTCCAGAATGTAGTCTGATTGTGCAGTCTCCTACTGAGTAATAGAGCGAAGGAATAAGCTTTGGAGTCGAGCAGCTCCCAAAAGGTCTGCCTCAGCCTCATGGCAGTTACTTGACCTCTTCAGAAGCCCAGCTTTATTGGAAAGTGGAGCTAATGGTGTCTAATCAGGCCACTGTGAGGATGAAATAACTTGTGTATACAAAGTGCTAAGAGTACTGGGAACAAATAGATTTCCATGTTGGGCAGGAGGGGGCATTTTGTTAGTCCGCTTTTCCCCTTTCTCCCATCTTTCTTGGACAGGACCCTGGGCTGGAATCAGTTCAGGGCCTAGTTTCCGTTCTTCATGAACTCATATGGTAACATGGGACAGAGAAGGGGGCACCTCCCCGGCCCTCGCTTTCCTCATCTGCAGTTGGCTATGACCGCCCGTCCCTTCTAGGTCTAATGCTGGGATTCTCCTGCAATATTCCCTAGCTCCCAGCCTTCCCGTCCCCTTCTAAGCTGCCTACCTCCTTGTTCTGTCTCTGGAGGTAGAGTGGTATTATGTGAAGAGACAGTTTTCACTTTTAATCCTGTCTTTTGGGCACGTCATATCATCTCTGAACCTCAGGGTTAACACAAAGGTTTTGCTTTTTCAACTGTTCGACTGTCCAAAGAAATAGGTGCTTCTCTTCTCTCCGAAGCTACAAATCCATCTTTCTGCTACCC